TGCATCTAAGAGGATACACATTTTAATATTAATATCTCATTCACGATGCATTGCAATTTCATATTTTAGCTGTGGGTTCCAAGTCTTTTTAAGAACACTGTCCACCAGCAGCTGCTGGCTTGTGGTTTGCTGATGCTCATGCTCCCTCTTCTGGTAAACACAGTGCTCAGCTTTTGCGTCAAAATACAGAATAAAAATCAAGAAATGGTAGCTTTGACCTTCCACTTTGCAGGGAGGTTATCCACGGAAAAACACAATTGCAGATCAAAAAAGTTGCCCACATGTGTTGTCAGTTTTCCTCAATCTTTAGAAACACATTTTCTACATGTTCAATCAACAAATTTTCCTTGTGAGAACCACTGATGCTTGCTCTGTTAAACACAATAAGAGACCTAAGTTTTCTTGACAATCTGACATGCCTAATAAACACTACTTTCGTAGAAGAAATTCAAGTCAGGACTTTGAGTAGAAACATTTGATTTAAAACTGCAAGAACAGACGACCCAACAATGCAGCTCCAGGGTTATGGTCCTGGACGTCCGATCCTGTCATTCAAACTCCCCAACCAAAGTGGATAACGAGTTCTCAGCCAGAATGTGAAATGCAACAGTTTTTGTCACGTGGAGATTTGATGCTTTGTTTTCTAGGCATTTTGACCTAGCTGATCTTCAGATAATATAGCATTTTCTGAACTGACAAATAGCTTAGCCCGTCTACCTAGTCTTCTTTCCCTTCCTCAAACTCTTATGGCACTATTTAAGTGAATGGAAAATTGTTTTCTACAATTGTGAATTGCGGTTACAACAACATTTTTAACAGTGGTAGGAGTCCATAGACCCCACCACCCTGTTAAGGAAGGGTCTATTAAACAAGAATGGCCGTAGTGCTGACTTCTAGGTTCAATTCACTTTACAGTATATTCTGTGAAGCGCTTTGAAACATCTCAAAGAAGTGACAAGACGATATATCAAATGCAAGGATTATTATTATGATACAACACACCTATGCAGGAAGCTGGCTGATAAGCCACAACCACTCTCGCGAATATTTCAGGGTTCATGACAGAAGTCACGCTGACCTAATGTGCTGTCATATGTGCAGGAAGCCAGTCAGTCAGCACTGGAAATGTACACAGTATAGTGTAGTCCACAGCCTACCAGCAATACACAAACAATTGCACTCTAACAAGTCTTCTTGTAATAGGGTTGGACTGCGAATATTGAGAAACTCAAATCATCAAAAAAAATCACCAAATAATCAATGTTGTCCTTTTCTCCAAAACAACTAACATAAAATGTCAACTGACCAAAGCAAATAGTTGATTTCATTTTGACCAGATAAAAATTATGAAAAGGGAAAGCAAATCGAGAGAGAGCAAATTCTGTTCAAAACTATTCCTTCTGGGGTAGTAAGCAAAGTCATAATAGTCCTTTAGGTAGTAGTCTTGAGGCGGGACTTGAAGGAGTCTAAGGAGGAGGCAAGGCAAGGAGTGATTGGGGGTTGGATTTCCAGAAGTTGGGGTCAGAGTGGCGGAAGGCTCTCCCGCCAATAGTGAGCCGGGTGGGTCGGGGGACGTGGAGCAGGCTGGAGCCGGCTGAGCGGAGGGAGCGGGCAGGTTGGTACAGGTTAGGAGGTCCCAGAGGTAGGGTGGGGCGAAGCCATGGAGGACTTTGAAGGTGAGGACCAGGATCTTGAACTGGATCCTCTGAAGGATAGGGAACCAATGGAGTCGGACGAGAATGGGGGAGATGGGGTCACGGAGTTTGGTGCGGGAGAGGACACGAGCTGCAGAGTTCTGGATTATCTGCAGCCTGTGGAGGGAGGAGTTGGGAAGGCTGACAAGCAGGGAGTTTGCATAGTCGAGCCTGGAGGTGATGAAGGCATGAACAAGAGTTTCAGGGGCCTGAAGGGTAAGTCGGTTGATGTTACGGAGGTGAGGGAAGGCAGAGCGGGTCATGGCTTGAATGTGGGGGAGGAAAGACAGTTGAGGGTCGAACAAGACACCCAGGCTCCTGACTGGCTGGTGAGTTGCAGTGGTCAACCATGGAGGTTGATGATGCCAGAGCCTGAGGTGCTGAGGCACTGGCGCGAGCCAATCAGGAGGGCCTCAGTCTTGTTCACATTCAACTGTAGGAAATTTGCCCTCATCCAGGACTTAAGAAAGGAGAAGTGGCTGCATTGATTTTCAAGCTTGCCCGAGGCCACCCAACCCTGAAAAATGTTAGTACAGGTGAAGATGCAGAAATATATAACCAGTACTAAACATCATTAGAGTTGCGAAATTCCAGATCGACTTTGACTGATCCAAAGCATCCAACTAAAAATCAATAGAATCCCTCCAGACAGATTCTCCGTGTAACATACATCCATCCATACAAAGAGTGAAAGGTTCAAGTCTCCAGATTACAGCACATTGAATTACTTTTAAAATCGGTCGTCTCAATGTCTATCACACAGCACTGCCTGAAACACCACCTAGTCTGAGCCTGTAAAAATCACTTTGCCTTAAAATTTAAGACGGTCCAAAAAATTCATCGATCCAGTCTAAATTTGGAAGCCAGATTTTCCTCCCAAAATAAGCTAGCTTCCAAAGTTACACTGAATTTAACATTTTTCCACAATGCTGTGTGATCTTACAATTTGAGACAAAACGGTCATAGATGAGGTTGAATTTCAGGCCTGCTTCGCCTTCCCAGGCTCCAAAGAGAATGCCAGCGATTCATACCACTTCATTTCATCTCTACCTGCCACCAGCCACTGTGATTGATGACCACACTGAGTCCAGATAAAACCATATACACAGATATTTCATTCATTTTCAGACTCGACAGTCCCGATGAATTACAGCAGTATTTAGTGAGCTTCGATTTGTTGGTTCAGGAAACCATGTATCCACGCTTTGCGCAGAAAAAGGCTGAACTAGATCCAGATGTTGCAGTGCTAATAAAGCATTTACATTACTCACAGAAATAGCAATTGTTCACTAAAAGAATGATGGAGCCAGAATAAAAATTCATTCCATAGGAATTAAAAATTGATTTTGCCACTAACTTCAGATAATAATAATAATAATAATAATCCTTGCATTTGATATAGCGCTTTTCACGTCGGGAGGACGTCCCAAAGCGCTTCACAGAACACACTGTAAAGTGAATTGACTGTATATTTGTGGGCGAACGCGGCAGCCAAATTGCGCACAGCAATGTCCCACAAACAGTCGTAGATTGAAAATGACCAATTTATTATTGTTTTTGTTTTTGGAGGGATTATTATTAGGCGTGTGGAGTAAGGAAACATGCCCAAGGTTTCGCCCTCTGCCTGGAATTGAACTCAGGTCTCTCACTTGCAAAGCGAGTGCTCTAACCACTGAGCTACAGGACTCCAGATGTATTACAACTGAATAAAAGATAAGTTGTTTGTATGGCTGTTTATTTTCTTTGAAAGACTCCCGTAACTCACTTATGAAGTAAAAAAATCAATATCACATTCACCATTATTTATTATTCACGTACTTGGCAGACATCAGTGTAATACAAGTCCCCCTCACAAATCAGATGATATCTATAACCTACAAGTGACTTTGACCAGACGCCTTTATCATTTCCCATTTAGGATAAAAGACGTCCTTTGGCACCCACATTCACATCTGCTATACATTCTCACAAGTGAAGCAGCATAGTTAATGCGGCATATAATACAACATGTTAACGTCATGCAACTCTGCCCAGTATTTCGCAGTTTTTGATCTGTTAAAAGGAGAAATTTCAATACCAGAGTATTCTGCAATAAACACCTCCACTTTTCATTCATTGAAATGAATCAACAGTTAAAAGCTTCAAATTTAAATCGCACATTAAGAATGAGAATTAGTTATTGAGCAAGTAAACTGCTAATTATCAAAATAACTATTCAGCAATTTAAAGTTGCTCGCTATTAATTTAAATAAACTACTAACAGTGATCTACATGACAAGTGATAACATCAGATAGAACTTCAGTTATTGAACAGCAACCAGATTGCCCTTCAATTTCAGAATACTCCATTAGCAATTTTTTAAGGCTATTTGCACTTTCATCCCTCACCAAACAATGCCAAAAAATAGGCCATTTGAGTCTCAAAGAAGTTCAGCTCCTCAATCTGCTAGCATTTACGGCAGAAATCTGCAGAACTCCAAACATTCCCACTGTACCTTGAAGAGGTCTCGCGGTGGAAGCTCAGGTCAGAGTAACATTGTTTAAATGCAAAGCAGACAGAAAGCTGAAACAAAACCGCACTCACCTGGTCATACAGGTGGCTTTTGTAACATTATTGTTGTATAAGGATTATAGGTGCAAGAAAAGAATTCTAAAAATCATCATCAGTGCTTCAGCTCCCAGTTTTGAAAATCATTTCATGGCTCCATGGGCAACACATCCACATACTTGGCAGCAGGTAATTTTTCATTCAAGCAGGCCAAAGTTTTCATCTCACTTGTAAGAATCGGTCCATGAAATAGGACATTATTTTATGCAGTTACTTTAAGCCTGAGAAGTAAATCAACTGGCATATTTAATGCTCATCTGTTACCTCTCCGAATGGATAAGTACAAATTGAAAACTCTGTGGACTCTGGGCCCAAATTGCATGTAGGAATGAAACATAAAATAGTCCAAATGTGCATCCTTAATACAATGTGACTGGTTGTGCAAAGTACTTGCAAATAAGCTTTCCTGTTAATGAAATAAACAAGAATCATGATCATCTCTTAAGGAGTGCCTGGTTCCTAACACTGTACAATCGGGACATATACTATGATAAAGAAGCAAACCACCAAAACACCATCATAGCCAAAATCATTAGCTTTATCCAAAAAATATTAATTATTTCATAAAAAAGCATTGAATTAACTGGATTATTAACTGTAAATATAAAAATATTCCTCCAGAATATATTTGGAGGTTATCCCTCAGCACCAAGGCACTGTGCTCAGCCAATTTCCCATTTGCTTTATATCTGACCTACCAATTTGTTTTCCTGCATGTAGATTTTCTGCAGCCTCCGGCAGCCTTTTGCTAGAGCAACCATTCCTTCATCTGTGATCTTGTAGCATTGGCCGAAGTGAATATCCATGACGTCTGGGCAGTTTTCTCCCAACTGTAACGACCAAAAATACATGAGAATAAACTTCTGCAAGTAAGTTTTTCAAACTCTACAACAAGGGGCAATGATAAAGATGCCAATCTATGGAAAACTAATAAAGTGGTTTAAGAAAACTATCAATACACGTGCCACTGTTTCACTCATGATTTAAAATGTCTACCATTGAATTTCACAATCCTCACGCCAAAATCTTCCTCTGATTTCAAAAATATATGAATTTAGCTATCTGAAGGGTTCTCCAATGCGTACAACATGGATTAAACAGTTTCATAAACATGGTAGGGATAAAATAGCCATCCTGACCAACTATGTGCAACCTCCACACACTGGTGAGTTACATTCACTGAATACAACAGTGAAGTTAAATTGATAACCAATGGTGAAAAACAGAGTACAGTTTCTATCACCCATTTTCCACAAGCAGATGAGTATCTCATTTCCTCTAGATCTGATTATGACGGATAGAATTTCGCTCCATAATACAATGGTGGTGCTGTGAGCAGTTTATATGAATGAATATTCATTTATATTTTCAGTGAGCATGAAAGGAATCACAGCTTCAATTTTCTTCTCCTTTCTGACCATGGGGTTGCTTATAACCGCTACTATTTTGCAAAATTTCACAAATGGACAGATTCCGGTAAAGTCAGCTGAAGTTCAATATTTCGTCCTAATTCTCAACCACCTACAGTACAACACACAGCTGTTCAGAGTACAGTTCAGTACACAGACCAAAAGGTCTAAATGGTAAAGGCCATCCCATTGATGGCCAGATTTTTTACAGTCTTCTTCATTTCACTGTTTTATTATATACAGGAGTAAATCAAACTTACTAGATACTGCTAATGTGGTCAAAATATCTCAGTACATTTGCCGACCTTATTAGAGAGCTTCATTTACAGTATTTCACAAACCAACATCTGACCAAATTTTAAAATACATTCATAGTATTACAACACAATATATATTTATATTGCACTTTTCGCATCAGGAGGGCATATCAAAGCACTTTAAGACATCCTCCTTTTGAAATGTATTACAGGTTCTGACTATCACTCCTCTTTGCTAGAACAAACCTTTCACTTGCGTTAGTGCTTGGTTGAGAACACTACAATGAGTGGCCATAAAAGGTGATTGAGGCCAGGTCACTGGAAACTTTAAGAAAACAGCTTGATGCTGTGATTGGAAAATGGTAGGGTGGGTGTCCTAGAAGGATGAGATTAAATGAGCAGAAGCGCTTTTTTCATCCAAACCAATCTTAATCTAGTGACAAGGTGGCTAAACAGTGTCCTGGACATGCAGGAGTTCAACCAGAATCCAGTGTCCCAAAGTCCAGTGTTTAACCGGTGTCTACTACAGCCAAAAATAAAGAGAAGTTTGTTCAAAATATTTATTTTAAAGATCTTTGCACATGCAGCAAATCACAGTGCTGTTTTTGTGTTTTAATGGTGTAAAGTAGCATTGAAAATGGAAAGGTGCACAGCAGTTAATCTTCATTCTAGCAGCACTATGTTCAAAATTCAGAAGGTAGTATTTTGGTTTCAGAAAAGCTGTTCCAACCAAGAACAACCTACCTGCACTGTAAGGCTATGTAGCACCGCAGGTAATGCTCCACTCGTGTTTTTTTATTTAAAACTCACAATCTGAGCATCAGCCAAAAGTAATTTTTGAAATGTGATAACCTGCATTTAAAATATCTGCGTGGATTCGAGCCTGGTGGCTAGTTCACTGGGCTCAAGTAATAGGTCACGAACAAGATCCAAAATAGCCAGAAGGAACAAACACAAATCAATCAAACAGATGTGTCAGTGCAGTCAATTACAACCAAAAGAGTGAGTATTGAAGAGAACGCACATGGCTGAAAAACTAAGTGCAGTAGCTGCAGAGTAAGTAGCATGGTTTATGAATAAATAGGACATGAAATAGGTCAATGAAGTAATCAATAAACCATGGGTAATGGTGAAGGGTCCAACTGGATAAAGGAGCATAATAATAATCATTGCATTTGATATAGCGCCTTTCACTTTAAGAGGATGTACGTCTCAAAGCACTTCACTGTATTCACTGTGAAGTGTAGTGACGGTGTGTTTTGTAAGTGAATGTGGTAGCCAAATTGCACAGAGCAATGTCCCACAAATATACAAAATGTATAGTATCAAGGCTAAGCTGGGGGAGGGGGGAAAAACAGAACAAATTGCACTGGAGTTGGGAAAATATGAACTTTCGTGCTGCATACTGCTTTTGTGAAGCTCTGTCAATTGGTAAGGGCTTTGAGGCGTCCTCCCAACGTGAAAGGCGCTATGTAAATGTAATTTGTATTGTAACTGTGTGATACAAACCAGGAAAGGTTCAAGTTCCAGTCTATACTGTTAGTTCACTTCAGCCAGAGTGCAGTCAGAACGCTAAAGTTGTCCTCAGTGGTTGGTGTCGGGAGTATAGATATGCAATATACTCAATCTTCCTCACGAGTAAAGAGATGGATCAGACTCAGCTGTGATGGCCCACCCTCCTTGATTGAAATAACCCATCAATAATTACAGTCAAATCTCACACACGAACAATGGCTGATTGGATGAAATACCAGAAGGAACCCAGCACCTGTAGCACCAGAACCCAGGCAAATTACCAATGCCTTCAGGAAAAAATGGTCACAATGTCTGCATTGCTCTTAGTTGCTGAAGCACATGGTTGTGTTCGAGTGGATCAGAGGAGACTGGATTATTTGAGTGAAAAGCAAAAAAGTGCATTAAAAAATCAAGAGAAAGCATCTGCCGTTACACAGGAGCACAGATAGGTCAGACGATAGAACAGTCGTCACTTTCTCACTCTCCAGTCGTGGTGCAAAGAAAAAATACGCAATAACTCAAAGAACAAAAACAGGGGCAGGATGAAATGGTGCAAATGCTGACTCAGTGCTTTAATTCAGGAAGGTCACACAAAAATACTGGAATTGACACAGAAATCTTGTTATGTTTTAATGCAAGCACTTGCTCCTTCTACTTCTAATAATCCTTGCATTTGATATAGCGCCTCATCACATCATTGACGTCTCAAAGCGCTTCACAGAATATATTGTCAAATTAATTGATTGTGTTTTTGTGGGAGAAACATGGCAGCCAATCGCGCACAACAGTGTCCCACAGTCGTGATTGAGTAAACCATTTTTTTATGTTCTTTAAGAGAGATTATTATCCCCAGAAAGCAATCCCCCAATCGACTAACAATCAGGTTCCTATTTACTGCTAGGTAAACAGAGGCGAGGGGAATGAGAAAACTTGCCTAAGGTTTCGTCCTGCCCGGGAATTGAACCCGAGTCTACTTGTTTGCGAGGCAAGTTCTCTAACCACTGTGCTGGGAGACTAACAGCCTCTCCAACCTTCAACACTGGTTGTACTTTCCTGGGTACTGTTCAGGTACTTCTTAAAAACCTGCTTCTCAGGAACTTCATCACAAGAATTGCTTTGGTTGCAAGATAAACTCTCTGATCTTTCAGCAGTTTCCCCCACTGACATTATTTAACCTTTTCAAACACGTATCCATCTCGTCCTCACCTCATGTTCAGAAGCAGCTCTGTTAATAAATGTATCTACGAGCATGAACTGTATCTCCCAGCTCCCGATGCATCGAATTCAGTGTTAGAAATTCCAGTACCACCTCTGAGCACTGTAGGGAAAAGCCATGAATTATGCTGCTTTATTTTGCTCGTGTAGCCTTTCAAACAAAATAATGGTTTGCTTTTTTCTTTTAGAAAATATAGTGCAGGGATCACTAATAAATAGTGCTCAGTTACATCACGAAATACTATTTACCGGGACATTAGGTTCCACTTCCTAAATTTATGAAGCAAGCAATCAATTTTAAAAGGTTATGCAAGTGAAAATACAGCACAATTTACCTCCCGAAACTACCTATCCTGAAGTGAAGCAACAGTCTCTTCAATTACAAATCAACCCATCCTGATCTTAGAGTTGCAGTACTGTACCACTTGTGACCTGTGTGCAGGTCCTGAACCCATTTATCACACGAATGAGGGATAAAAAGTGCAGTACGGAAAGCAGCCTGCACAGAAACTGATAATGAGCGTAGCTGCAGGGAGACTGCATCAATCACACACAAACACTGTCTGCACTGCTAGACACCAACCTGGAAAAGCAGGTGGTCTCAGGGGAGGGCTGCAACAAAACAAAAGAGAAATGACAAGAGAAATTTGTAACTGCTTGTTTGCAAAGAAAGGAGGAGATGAACGAAAGAAAAGGAAACATCAAAACATTCAATAAAATGTACAGATAAAAATAAATTGGCAGCGGGGCGGGGAGAAGGGAGGATGGGAAGAGAAGAACAGGCGCAATTGCAGCTTTGGGTTGCTATCCAATGATTCCTGCTGAAAGTCCATCTGCTTGGAATTTAGGCCTGACATATTCCTTCCATCATCCAACAGCCTTTCATCATTGGCTATCTCGGCTCACACGCTTAGAATTGCCACCTGAATGAGGTGATAGATGGTGGACAGAGTCCATGGAACAGTGGCCCAACACAAGCCACCCCACCCCCATTAAATAAAAAAAGCACCAAAACGGTTGCTTCTAACCAGACACCTATTCATAAAAAAAGCTATGCATGGGCAGGTTGATCCAACAGCAAACTGGCAAATATTAATTTGTTTTTGGTATTTCCAAACATGGGACTCACTGGTTTATGAAATACCACCAACTTCAGTTTCTTAATACCTTTATTAGGAAGCTGAAATTGTAAAATTTACAAATAATGCATTCTGCCCATATTATTGCAGAATATTACACATACCAACTTCAAGGTCTGTGAATACACAAACAAGTAGAGAATTATTCGCCCACTGCCCACTCCCTCTCCCAGGAGTCCTAATTTAAGTACCGTAGCTCGATAATTTGGCTCAGAAAGTTAGGCCAAAAGACCTGAGAAAAATGAAGGCCCTTGATGCGGAACTGCACAAATTCAATTCAGAAATGTCAGCATAC